CTTTAAATATCAATGGAGACCTTGATTTCAAAAAGCATCTAATGCTGCTTTTGGGGCCACTCACAGTGGGGCTGAGCTGAGTCTCCTCTTTGCCATCAGGAAGCGACTGAAGCTGTTTCTGCTTTTAGGAGAAGAGCTGATAAATACAGAATCAGAACAAAAGCTTCAAGCAGAGTGCATGAAACCCAGGCTCTCCTGCAGTTTGACAAGACAAAGGGCACCACAGATCAATCTACTGGCCCGTTTTGATGCACAGGGGAAGAGAAATCAGCCTCCCCCTGACACATTTAAAAACTACAAACAAGTGCATACATGTTAAAACACTTGGAAAATGGTTTAATGATGTTTACAACAGAAATGAACTGTACAATTACAGTAAGTTTAATATATATAAAAAATTACAGCAGACAAATGCATCTACACAAAATCTACCTTTTCATTCTGATTTACTGTAATCTACACAATCTCTCAATGCCTACAGCTATCTGTAGGCAACCACTGGGAAAATAATAATAATATAATAATAATAATAATAATAATAAAGGACATCTTTAAAGAGACAGCATTTCGCCTTCCTCCTCACCCTTAGTGTGATCAGCAAGGTTTTGAAATGTGTGGGACTCTCACATTTCAGTCTCAAGAAAAGCTTGGGTTGCGTTTGGGTAGGGTACTCCCACAATGGCCCTAGATTTCAAGTGTTCTGCTGACCTCAAGTTTATAAATGCAGTGTATGAGGAAGGGCAAGAGAAAAAAAAAACCTCCCAGCCAGTGTAAGCAGGCAGTTGCACAGAGCAGTGAAACCATTAGGACCAAAAACTTGTCTTATTTAGGAAAAAAAAAGCAAAAAAGGGACTGCCCAGACACTACAGACATTCACAAATCCTCGCTTCTTTGAAAATTCCTATCAGATTTAGAAGAAAGGGCTTGGTTTTCCACTCCCAATTCTTCATACAAAGGGGTAGTTTTCAAACTAACATGTTAAATACTTTTTAAAAACAAAATTTAAGCTACTTCCTCTTTGGCCCACCCCTTAAAAACAGTGAAACCCCCTTTGCACTGAGAAAGAACCTCAGGTCAGTGGGGGGAAAAAAAGAACATGCTGTCTCTTTAAAAAGAAAGAAAGAATCCCAGTTGGGAGCGGCCATCAGTGAAAATGCGATCCAAATTGGCGGTCTGGTGGAAATTCCTCACGGAATATTATGTACAGATTAAAAACCTTTGTAGTTGGTTTTTCTTTTATTATTATTTATGAACACCTAGGCAGTGAAAACTGTTATGTTAATACATACATAGACACACCCAAAACATACAAAAATACTATTATTTCAAACTACTAAGAATAGGACAAGTTCAGTTATCTCCATGCTATGACTTTAAGAGCATTACACTGAAACAAACAAGAATTTAAACGACAATTTTTTAATATCCCAGAAATATACCAAAATATACATCTAAGCTTTGGAATTACTGAGGTTAGACTAATGCAAGTGCTGGGTAATCGTACTTAATACACAAGTCTAAGGTTCTGCAGGAAAGAAATTATCTTTGGTATCTGCATCAGGCTAATAATATTAACATTTGGATTTTGCTTTGGGATAGAGCTTGTCTGACCCTAGAACCAAACACCCCCCAATCAACTGAGATTAAAAAGATCCATGTAAAAAGTTCCTCCATTTGCAATCCCCCCCCAAAAGTTAAAAAGTCACAGGCATCTACCTAGCATAAAAGGTTGAGAAATACAATGCATAGTTGCACAGTGGTGCTGCAAAAATAAAAGAAATCTAGAAAAAAGGAACTAGAGGAGAAATGAAAAGCTGCTTCTTCTTCTTTCAGGGATTTCTCACGACAGGACAGCCTCTTCCAAGCAGTGAAGGGGGGGGAAGCTCAGAAGTGCACCTCAGCGTGTATTAATCAACATCACCCAGCCCCCAGAGGGTTAAAGCACCCAGCAGAGCAGCCAATCCTGCACCCAAGTCTTCAGCTCCTCAACCCACCTGCGAAGCCCCGGCCTCCCCTCCCAGCACCTGCGCCCCAGATCTCACCCTGGAGCTGGGAGTTGCTGCCCAGGGTGTTCTGGAGCCCCGGGCTGGCAGCGACCCTCGCCCAGCCAGCCCAGGCCAGGCCGGCCTCACAGGTGGGCTTGGTGCTGAAGACGCCCTTTGTCTTTGGTTTGTTTGTTTGTTTTGAGTTTATACAATCATTAGGAAATCTTTGGTTTTGGCTGGAAATTTTAAAAGAACAAAACAAAACAAAGAAACCGCCCCCTCCCGACTTATAGCAGCCACCGTGACCTGACAAAGCTTCTCTTTCCCATGGGGGTAGGGGGAACTACATTCAAATAAAGATGAACCGGGTTAAGGATGCAGCTTCTGGCCAGGTTGGGGAGTGGGGAAGGGATACAGGATTGTCAAATAATAAAGAAGAAAATTAAGTATTTGGAGATTTATATTTTTTTTTCCTTTTTTTTTTTTCTTTTTGCTTTTTTGTTTTTTTGGTCATGTTAAAAAGTGAGTAGCATGTACGCAGCACTGGGCTGAGAGCGCCTCTGGGCCCAGGGGCTCAGCGTTGGCTCTGGGGTGGGAAAAGGCAGCGTGGGTGGCCCTTTTCCATGGAGAGTGGAGGGGAGGGGGTGGATATTCACAGACTGATCGAGAGGACCCCTTGTAACCAAAGGAAATAAGATAAGATTGCAATTTGCCCTCACTTTGCAGTAGCTTTTAAGCAGCGACATTCAGAGGCGTTAGGGGGTCACTCCCCAGGTTGCAGGTCACGGGGTGCTATAGGCCAGAGTTCAGTGTTAATCAAAGGAGGGAGGGCAGACTTGGCAACTCTGTGGGGTTTGGAGAAAGTTAAAGCAAGTTACTCAGTTACGAGTTAGAAATGAGGTATACGACAGCTCCTGTACCTGTGGCGGATAAACACCCCACACCTACTCACACCTAGCCTTAGATACTACCACAGAGGAAGGAAATGGAACAACGGCACTGGCGGGGACCAAGGAGCTCCTGCCCGGGCCCTCCGCACGGAGCGCTGGCACAGGGGGGCACACGGGGTGCCCACGGGGCCGGTGCTGCTCCAGCCCTCTCCAGCCCTGCAGCGGTGCCTTCCCTTCCCCGCGCTGCAGGGAGGCGCGCCCTGAGCTCCAAGTCTTGCTCTTTGCGTTTTCCCTCGGACTCGCTCAGGCGCGGGGAGCACCGGGGTCGCGGAGGCCGACACACGGAGAGTGAATGGGGGAAGAACTAAAGGTTTTGTCTCAACTGCCTTGTTCTCAGGACACTGTCACGGGTGCTCTTGATCCTAAATCGTTTCTCAAGGGGGTTGTGCGATCTCCACGAGTTGCCCCTTGGCGTGCTGTTCCCTAAGGTCTTGGGGATTCCTACTGTTAAATAATTTCGGGGTTTCATAGCACCGCAACATGCCGGCTTGGAACGCACACGAAGCTATGACATTCAGGGAACGGGGCTTCCGTAGCTGCAGCCACAGAATTCGGCAAAGGCAGTGTGAATCCTGAAGTGGGGCCTACAACAGATAAGACAATTTTGGGAGGGAAGGGGAAGCTAATGTGATAAATTAAGTATCTCACGGTATTATGTAAAGCTCTGCCGGAGGATATTCCCCAGCAGACCGACACAGTTTTAAGACAGATCAGCATTTTGGTCTGAGCTACTTGACAATGTCCTGTTTGGTAGAGAGA